TGAAAAAATGAAGGCTATCAAACGAACTGCAGTAAAACTGAACAACGGAATACTGAACAACGGAATACTGAACAACGGAATACTGAAATACCTTCATAGCCCTTGAATATTTAATCCTTGGCTGCCACTGCGTCTCATCCCATATTGCATAGTAGCGAAAAAGGAAACGCTGATATTATTATTTATTATTATTATTTATAAATGCCCATACTTGTATTATTTATACCTTAAGGTTAGGGTTAGGACCTCAAATTGGCAAAAGTTTTATTCTAAGAGAACACGAGGAAGGAGTGCGAACATAGAATCTTGTCTACGCGAAGATCTAAGTTGTGACGTGACTACCTTTTCTTCGTCACCACCACAACAACCTCGCGTTAGACTTCACTGCTCGACATCAGAGCAGCTCTCTCTTTCTTTTTGTCCACAACTACAGATAAATCTACAAAGCATTTATTTAATATAAATCAAAAGTATTTCAGAGATAATGCCTAGAATACAGTGCGACCCCAGTCTTTTAGAATGCCCTGACTTCGCCTCTGCCGTTTTCGCGGCAGCACGAGCACCTTTCATTAACCCCACTACCACCGAAGATCAGGCGATCCAGTTCCTAAAGGACATCTGGAACGCCGGTAACCAGGCTGATAGAATCAAATGGCAGCAGCAGAATGATGCTGACGAGGTCGCTCTCACAGAACATCGTCAGTTGCAGTCAGATGCAGACCTCCAGAGGGCTCAGGAGGAGATCATCGAAGCAGAATCTACTCGCAAGGAGGAGATGAAGAAAAATAAAATGAAATATACCCCTATTCCAGACCGAGATGTTCCCACCATAGCGCCAGTCATCGCTTCCAATTACGCAATTAGGAAGATGGATAAGGGCCTTTACGTTGAGTTATGGTACTACACTAATGCCGGTTTAGACGACGCATTACGAGGTTCCAATACCACTGACGACGAAGCTATGGTCATGCTGCGTCGTCCTGACGGCTCCACTTCCTGGGTTCCGTCTGCTTCCACCAGAGATGCGACGGGAGTTCTAGACGATAAAGATATCTCTTGGGAGGACTTCTGCCAGGCAGCCCCTAGAATGATCGTCGCCATGGAGGAGGCCGATTGGCCACAAGACCGGGTCTCGATGTTAGCCAAATTCTGGGGCAATCTCCAGATTCACGAGCTCCGATCATCCAGGGATCCCATCGATCAAAAGACTCTCATTGTTTACCAAGCGGAGCAACGCAGGCTCTGGCATCTTGCCATTTCTTCCCCTCGTGGGGCTTACAACCTCTCCCGTATAAATGAGGAGGTAGTACGAAAAACTCGCGAACGAGTCTACTGGGAAGACCGTCGCCTCAAAGACAATGAAAGGGATTATCGGGTACGTCCTCCATCTTGACTTTCCCCAACATTCATGACTAAAAAGCAATCCTCTTTTGTTCCCCTTCCATATAATATATCACCTCTTGTTGCATCGCGCACGCCTCCTTGTTGCATCACGCACGCCTCCTTGTTGTTGCATCGTGCACGCCCCCCTCGTTGCATTGTGCACGCCGTCTTGTTGCATCGCGCACGCCTCCTTGTTGCACCACGCACGCCTTCCTCTTGCCCCACGCATGCCATGTCATCTCATCTCACTATGCATTCTGCTAGTCTGATCGACGATCAGTTGCCAGCCCTTCCGTTCCTCAACGAAGGGCCCCAAATCCCTCCTCCTCTCGTGGCTTACGTCGCCGTTCGCTGTCTCCAGACAGGAGTCACACATCTATGAGGCACCCTCAATTAGACAAGTCTTTGCCTCCTAAGAGGTTGGATTTTCACTCAGGCACACACGGAAGAATCTTATCCGTCTGTGCCGTCTGCCTCGGTCGTCACCCACACAAGATTATCGACTGTTCCTCGCCTTCGTTATGGGACAAGCTCACTCCCGCTCTCGCGACTCGGATCAACAAAGCACTTGCCATGCGAGACGGCCGTCCGATATGCGCAGACTGGCAACGAGTCGCAGGATGCCCCAGCTCCCATCACAGCAACCGCCATATCTGCTCAGGTTGCATCTCCCCATCTCATGGAGCTCAGGACTGTCCTCGAGCAGAGAGGCCTCAAGGCTCTCACTCCCTATAACCCCGATGCTTGGGAATCCTCCCTTCGTGACGCCGGAATCTTTGCTAGATACGCTCATCTCCCCCAAAGTTTTCGTACAGGTTTCATCCTTAATCTCCCCAACATCACTCGGACTCAGGCTCCTCCCAACAAAACCACCATCGAAGAACCAGAACTCGCACTCCAGTTCAATAAGATCGTCAATCTTGAGTTCGACAAGCGACGTTACTTGGGCCCCCTCACGCGCGAGGAGGTTGAGTGGCTTATCGGCCCATTCCAATCCTCCCCTTTCTCCATCATTCCAAAGCCCGGGCGCCCAGGTCACTTCCGTATCCTACAAAACTATTCTTTCCCTCACAACACGTCTCCTGATTTCCCCAACCCTTCCATCAACTCGTTTGTTAACTCAGATGATTTCCCAACTACTTGGGGTACCTTCACAGCAATATCACTACTCATACGTCGACTTCCCCCAAGATCTCAAGTTGCCACTCGTGACGTCGCTGAGGCTTACCGTACTGTCCCTTTACACCATTCCCAATGGCCAGCAGCAGTCGTTAGGATCGGACCAAACTCATTTGGCATCGACACCTCCACTTCCTTTGGAGTCTCTCCTTCTGCTGGGGTTTATGGAGTTGTGGCAGACGCAGGTGCAGACATCATCAGATCCCGTGGCATTGGCCCATTGGCGAAGTGGGTCGATGACCATGTTTTCTTCCGCGTCCTTACTAGATACCTCGATGAGTACAATCATCGTCGCGCGGTCTGGCGTGACGAGATCGCATCTAGAGAGAAGAGGATTGATGGTGGCCGTTTATGGTATGGTGGAAGTACCTTTCCAGATGGGACTCTCGATGAACACATCGAAGACTGCCATTTTCCCTGCGCTGACCTATCATCTCGGACCCCTCAATCTCTCGAAGATCAACAGTATTCTTACAACTTTGAGGATATTGATCAGGTTTCTACTCCTCTCGGTATTCCATGGGAACTATCCAAAGATTCCCCTTTCTCATCCACCACCTCGTACATTGGCTTTTGCTGGAACTTGGAGACGCTCACGGTCTCGCTCAGTCTCGAGAAGAAGGAGAAATATATTTCTGGCATCGAGGAATGGCTTCATCGCCCCACTCACGTTCTCAACGACGTCCAGAAACTATACGGAAGGCTGCTCCACGCTTCTCTCGTTGTTACATCAGGACGCGCTTACCTCACCGGGCTGGAGGCCATGCTCGGCCTATGTCACGACCGTCCTTTCCTTCCATACTCACCAGTCAAAGGCCTTAGCGACGATCTCCTTTGGTGGATCTCCAGGCTCTCTCAACTCTCCGTTTCCCAGTCAATCCCAGAACCAGTACAGATCACTGACCCAAACGCCTTTTCAGACGCGAGTTCCGGAGTCGGAATTGCCATCGTCATTAATGGCAGATGGAGAGCATGGAGGCTCATCCCTGGTTGGCAGACACTCGACGGCGCTAAGGACATCGGATGGGCTGAGGCCATCGGCTTCGAGCTCCTCATCCGAGCCATCGCCTGGTCTGTCAGTACTAGCGGGCACTTTAGGGCTTATGGGGACAACAAAGGGGTGGTCGAAGGTTGGTGGAACAATAGGAGCAAGAGCAGATCCATCAACGGAGTGTTTCGCAGGATACACTCCTTCCTCGAAGACTTTGGCGAGGCACTCTCCATACACTCGGCCTACGTACCCAGTAAGTCTAACCCAGCAGATGGTCCCTCCAGAGGAATCTACCCACCTCTCAGTTCATTGCTACCCGAAATCACAGTCCCATCTGATCTCAACCAGTTCATTATTGACTCCACTCACCCTCTCTGCCCCATCGAGCTCCGTTCATCCCGGGAGGGCCATCCTCCCTCAGCCCTCACAAAGCGCTCTGTCGACCCTCTCTGGAGTGCTGATTCCAGTAAGCAGACAAGTTCTGCCGATGACTACCAACCTTATTTCGGACGCAACCCCCACTGCTAATCTTAATACACGTTTCTCTGCACCTCTCACCGACATCTCTTCCTCCGCCTCCTCTTCAAGGCCTCATGTATACCAGCCAGATCTCACCCCTTCCGTTTCTCACCTTCGTCCTCACTGCCCCGCCCGTGATCGTCTCCGCCTCTGGAGACCAGCCTTCTCCAGGTCCGATCTCGACAGAGACAATCACTCCATAGAGATATCTGAGGCAGACTTAGACCGCGTTATCACGGTCATTAACACCTCCTGGCAGCCAAGCACTAGAGAAGCTTACGGCGCCGGTCTTCTCCTCTTTCATGTCTTCTGCGACCAACGTAACATCCCAGAGCCTCAGCGCTGCCCAGCCAGTCCTCTTCTGATGCTAACCTTCATCTCTAGCTGCGCCAGTTCCTTTTCCGGAAAAACCCTTGCGAATTACCTTTACGCTATCCGAGCATGGCACATTTTGCATGGTGCCCCTTGGAACATGAACTTGGCAGAGATGAAGGCAGCTCTCGATGGGGCTTCATTACTAGCTCCTCCTTCATCCAAAAGACCAAAACGGGCCCCTTTGACTCTGGCCACGGTCATCTCCATCGCCGGAAAGCTCGATCTGGCCACCCCTCTAGACGCGGCCATCTTCGCTTGTCTGACGACCACCTTCTTCTCGGCGGCCCGGCTTGGAGAATTCACGGTCCCTTCCCTAAAGGCTTTCACCCATACCCTACATGTCAAACCATCCGACATCAGGCGCGACCAAGATCGACATGGCTTTCAGGTGACCGTATTCGCCTTGCCTCGCACGAAATCATCTCCCAGCGGGGAGGACGTTTACTGGTCTGCCCAAGAAGGCCCAGCTGATCCCCAGGCTGCTCTCACAAACCACCTCAGCATCAACAACCCGCCAGCTGACAAAGCTTTGTTCGCTTGGAGGCACCCTCAAGGACTTCGTCCTCTCACCCGAGGCGAATTTCTCAAACGCATCAACTTGGCAGCCAGCTGAACTGGGTAGTCGAATCCTTAAAGGGCCACGGCATCCGCATCGGCGCTACGCTCGAGTACCTTCTGCGGGGAGTTCCTTTCGACGTTGTTAAGTCTATTGGGAGGTGGTCTAGTGAGGCATTCCTCGTCTACTTGCGTCAGCACGCAGTAATCATCGCACCCTATATCCAGGGCACCCCGGTCATGGATGCTTTCACCCGATATACCATGCCCCCACCTCGTTAGGATTTAACACTTAGTGAGTATTTTGTTTATCCCGCCCATTTCCTTAAATTGTGGCATCTAAGACTTCGCTTGTCGCGTCACTGGACTCCTTATACCCGGGAATCACAGCTCATCTTAGATTGCTTTTCTCATAGGTACCGGCACTTGTTTCAGTCGAAAAACCCTTCGGGTTTTTGCCCAAACCTATTCCCAGTTCCTCTATCTCTAAATACATATCATCAATTACTTCTCGTTTTCTGATCCTTCGGATCAGAACCATTCAGTTCCTCTATCTCTAAATACATATCATCAATTACTTCTCGTTTTCTGATCCTTCGGATCAGAAAACACTTAATAAACATAATCTTTTTCGACCACATAGATAAAGAAGCCTGCCCAGCCAGAGTGGCCAGAGCAGGACAGGAAAATATTGAGACGGTGCATGAGCCGAAGCCCATACAATCCGCAAACACCCTCTGAGGACAAGGTCGCCGTGCTATGGAGGATCTCCGCGGCCCACAAACCCAGGTAGTTGAAGGGACTTATGCCATCAAGGTAAGTATGAGTCGTTCATGAGATTCAGGCTGCCTTTTAAAGGATCAGAGGAGCGCACGGACCAATTGCATATGTTGACTGGGGTACTATCTTACGAAAATCCATTTGAAATTTTCATTACGTTATACCTACAAATTATCTTGTCAAGTACCCCAGCCTCAGGAGAGGGTCTTCACGATCTGCTACGCCGTGCGCAGGTTTGGAGTGAAAAATCGGTTACTAAAATTGTCGTTTTTGGCTTGTCCAGGCTTGTCCCCGACTCTAACTCCATCAGCTATTTGATCATTCTTCAGGCTACTGCATTTCAACGTTTCAACGCTAGTATGAGTTATTTAAGATATACGGCCCAACACGGCGTTACTATGTCTTTTTTCAAGATGTCTGGATGGCTTTGATACTTTCGCGCCCTACTATTATGACAGCCCAACTTCAGAGCGAATCATCCCTCAACGAGAAAGTGGGACACGACTCCGTTTCTACATCCTCAGATCCACCAGACAAAATATCGAGTTCGAGGACTATCTTCGTTTTGCAGCTATCCAACGTCGGGCGGAGGATCTTGCCACCCTACCTGCGTCAGAACTTGGGAAGCTTGAAAAGAGCAACTGGTTCAACCGGCTTTCTGAACACAAGGGCCAAAACGTAAACATAAAGGTCCATGACATAGACAACCCTATCTCTCTCACTGCGGACGAGTTGGAACGAGAAAATGCTTCCCGAGTGTTGCGTATTGCTTCTTGGGCTAGCGTTTTCTACTTAATCACGACAGATATCCTGGGACCTTCCAATGCGCCCTTCGCCATTTCTTTGGTTGGCTGGGTTCCAGGTACAAAGTTCCATCTCTTCTCAAAATTTCAATTTATCTAATACCATTTATCAAGGCATCATTCTCTACGTTTTCAGTACGTGGATTTACTATCATTGAACGAACATGATACAATTGTGATTCTAGTGGGAATTGTGGCTTTGTATACTGGGCTTCTCTTGTGGAGACTTTTCGTTCGGCTCCGAGTCGACTCCAGTGAAGACATACGGAGATATGGCTGAGCGTATCTTTGGGAAGACCGCTCGTCATGTATGTACGGTGTTGCAGAGTGTCCAGCTTCTGGTTAATGTACGTGCTTCCGCAGCATAAAAAATGGATTTTTGCGGATCAAAATAGGTTGCGACTATTTGTTTGGGCAATGGCCAAACTCTCTCTCAAATCACAATGGGCAAAGTACGTAACAGGATCTCTATGTTTTCGGACCGACTTTTATGTTATGATAGCTCTGTTTTTCTGTGTGCATTCTCGATCGTGGGTTTGGTTATTGGACAGATTCGTTCTTTGAAGGTATGGATATATTTGACAAGCACCGACGGTTTTTTTAACTCTCATGACGACAGAACTATGGATGGCCTACTAATCATGGAGCCGTGTGGTTAGAGACTTTGGCTCCAACGTAGTCGTCGGCACTAAATATCTCTCCCGTGTACCTATAGGATCAACTTGATCATTATTTTCACCTCTATGGGCTTTATTGCGCACAGTCCTCCCAATTTCGCCGCTGCAGAAAAGTCCTTAGGAGTCAGTTCTGGTCCTATTAAAACAAGTTTGTTCGTCGATATACCTTTTTTCAATAAAGTGAGTCGTTTCAGGTTGGGTCTTGAACCACACAGCTGACGCGCATCTAGGTCAACGGTATAATGAACATGGTGATCTGTCTTAGTTCATCGTTTTTGTTTTGTGCCTGATTATACGTCCAAAGTTTTCGCTTATGGGGTGCCATTATTTTCCCGGAAATAGTATGTTTGAATCTTTCTTCATTAATACTGAAAGGTGGCTGAAATGCGACGCCCAATGGACTTTTGTAAGGGACTGGTATTATAACACTTTTACCTTTCTTGACGATGATTTGTGACAAATGTGCATAGACGGTTGCGCAAATTTTGATCTTTGTCACTTATCTCATCTACGGGGTATTTGTTTATGTGAGCCATAGCTGCCCTTTTCCTTCTTCGAAGTTTATGTCTCTTACAGGCCTTCCAAGGACAATTTACGCTACCAATCGCATATCAAGGAGTTAGTAAATTTACATGGCAAACTGTCGGTGAGCTACCCAAGCCATGACCAACTCCAATTACTTGCTGACATACTGTCAGGAAACGTTCTTTCTATGATAACTGTAATCCTTGGGGCTGGACTATATGGAAATATCGGGATCAGTTAATTTATTTTTTTTGTTGTCCCAGGATGACCGATACTCACCTGTTAGTCAGAGGTCGTGTATATCAATGTCGTCGAAGACTGGCTAAATGGTCCTCGTCTAATGTCATTCAAAGGTAGAATTATCTGGATAGGTATGTCCATGTGCGAGTACCTGTCGGCTCATCTCACAAACATCGTAATAGGACTGGTATTTGCATACTGGGCGCTCTGTAGGTTTCCACCCCTCACCTTTTGAACTCATTCAAAACCGCGAAAAAAAGCCTTTGTGGTGGCTTCTGCCGTCCCTCAGGTTCAAACGATCACCGGCCTCATTGCTGCGGTCTCTATCATGCAATTCACATACACTTTCCCACCAATCTTGCGTCTCGGTTACGATGTCATCACAGATGCTATGGTCGCTGATGCACCGTATGTCCCGAAACAAGGCACTCGTATTAGATACCTGGAAACAATGGTCACGATGGAGAAGAGTGGGTCGATAATACATTTATGAATATTTAATGAAACTTACAAGCTTTACTTGAAGGGCTTGTTCGGTGGTCGTTGGTACTTCAAGCTTTTCAATCTGATTTTATTCCTTAGCAGTGCCGCCTTGGCTTGCCTGGGTAAGAATCCCAATTATCCTCGTTTATCTAGCATATACTGAGGTTTCGTGAATAGGTATGTGGGGCGCTGGAGAATCTATCAAAACAATATTCCAGATAGCTGGAGCTGCTACTTCATTCGGATGTAAATCCCCTGTCTAACTGGATTTCAATTTTACGTAGTTTCTTTTTATTTAATTTTATCTATGTATTCGTACATGATCTTGCTGATACTTATCTAGTGAGGTATCAGCGATCAGATAATGTGATACGAGATGTTGAGGAAAATTGCTGAGGTCAATGTGTTCAAGGGCCTAATATCGAATAAGACCGAGAATTTCTCGTTTGGCCGTAATTTGGTCCTTGAGTTCTTGAGGATCCGAATGTCTAAACGGGAGGAGAAACCTACGGAATTTGTCGCCAAATTCAAAGCCTCATCCAACTTCACGCACGCTGCCTTCAAGCCATCGCTCCAGACCCTTCATTCTCCCAAACGTTGAGAGCAATACTCCCCTTCATTTACCGCACTCCTGTCTTTCTTCTCGGTACCCCGCACAACCTTCATTCGCTTTCTATCCCCGTGCTCAGCCTCTTTCAGAATCAAATGTCGGACCATGTAATATGTCGATAGTGCAGTTTCAAATTTTATGTAATAAATTTACAGTACCCAGCTACGGGTTATATATATGCAATTGGTCCGTGCGCCCCTCTGATCCTTTAAAAGGCAGCCTGAATCTCATGAACAACTCATACTTACCTTGATGGCATAAGTCCCTTCAACTACCTGGGTTTGTGGGCCGCGGGGATCCTCCATAGCACGGCGACCATGTCCTCAGAGGGTGTTTGCGGATTGTATGGGCTTCGGCTCATGCACCGTCTCAATATTTTCCTGTCCTGCTCTGGCCACTCTGGCTGGGCAGGCTTCTTTATTTTTTGCCATTTTGGGGTCCTAACCCTAACCTTATATGAGTGGCAAAGTGTAATACTTTCTTCCCTAAGCCTTTTCAATTATTTCAAGCCTTGAGCCGGGCCGCAGCCGTGGTCTCGTACCACTGCCCTTGGTTGTGCGTTGTATGTATGTTGCCCTTGGTTGTGCGTTGTATGTATGTTGTATGTATAGTATGAGATTTTGTATGATGAGAAATGTGTTCCATGGATCAGAATGGGATGGGCAGAGGTAATTTTATATCGCGTTTCCTTTTTCGACTATGTAAAATGTTTTTCATCTTCAATCCAGGAGGCGCATAAGATTAATATGGTAGAAGTCTGGATGTTGCTAGCCATATAGACGTCATGATCGGTCGCAAAGACATTGTTTCCACTATTTCACACTTTGAATTTCATATAGGGCAACGGTTTTGTTCATATCTGTTATTCTCTCTTTCTTGCTGGGTTGGAGTGGGTGCACAGCGCCCAGGCCTTAGTGCTTGGCGCTCAGTCGAACTCCGAGGCATACACAGGATACATTGCTACAACTAGAGTCAACAGGCTTTTTCCAGATTTTTAGATTTCAACAGAACTCGATCGGACGCCTTGAGATTATTACCCATTACTATCGAAATGAACCTCTTCCTGGGACAGCATGGAAACTGTCTGGTTATACCGCGTCCCAGTTGAACGGAGCAGAGGTCGAACCAACTCTCTCGAAAAGAAGCCTCCAAGGTGCAGGGTTAATTGTGACATTGGCTGCTGAAGATGATGAGGAGTGCGCGCGAGATTGTGTAACGCGGCGACGTCTGGACTCTTCGGCCCGGTTATGACACTGACAATGTGATCAAAGTATTTTTGGATTTAATTTTAAGAATCTGCACTCAAGTTCCGCAGTCTGTTTTCTCGAGCTTCATCCGAATAACCATGGTTAGCCCAGAGGCCGCCACTCGATTTCTCAAGTTTGTAAACGCGTCTCCGACTCCTTTTCATGCGGTTCA